AATTTTAACTTCGATGAGATAGCTGAAAATGTATAAATTACAAATGACGCGATTTTTTTTTGCGTCAACTACTTTATCCTCAAAAACTGGAAAAACCCAAAACAAATTTGAACGTTTTTTAAACGTTGAAAGTTTTTTTGACTTGCTATAACCTTGCTATAACGACCTTGGTATTATTTTTCAATCTTCTCTTTTCAGATCATGTTATTAATGTATGACGTGCAAAAGCGCTAAGTACTTTAGGATGTGTTATTAGATCTACTAGAGTTCAGGAGCGAGTCGTTTAATAATGCGTTTTTGTACTTGTTCTTGTTGATCTATATGTCAGCAGTCGCAGAATGGCTGGAAATCAAAATCTGGGATGCAATCGCATTATGTACCCCAAATTTGTTTTCCCTAGTTTTCAAAATGATAATAGCTACAAAATTGCTAATATTTTTCTAGAAATGTAGGGTCGTGTTGTTTTATAATTTTAATTTGTACCGTGAAAATTTAAAAAACAACATGTTAAACAATATGTTTATTTGTTAAAAATACAATTATTTTTATATTTTATGTAGTTTCTTAACTTTTATCCAAAAACGTTTTAAAAAATATGTGTTATTTTAACGTCATTATACATTATTATTTTATGCCATTTTACGAACTTAGCCTCCGATCTACTGGTCAAACTGCGTACTACGGTTAACGTTTTGCTTTCTATATAGATGGTATACCCTACTCGTATCATAATAATATTATACAGTATGTTTACATGACTTGTGTACACAATCACTACACAAAACAAAGAGTCAGAACGGTGATTAATGATAAACATCTCCCCCTAATTATTTTGTTAGCAATACGAATAATAAATTGAAGAAATATTTAAAGATCCTCTTCGCTAGCATTTATAAGGCGCATAGTATAGGCAATTTTTTACTAAAACTAAGTTTAAAGCTAAAATTTGTAAACATAAAAATCAACACAGAAAATAAGGATCTCTATGGATATTTTATTTTTATTTACTACTTGCATAACGCATACTGGTCATATTTTAGTATAAAAACATGTTTCTAATTCGAACAGTACGTTGCTAAAAATACACCGGCTTAAGTTTTGAAAAAAACATTTGGATTCTTCATAATATATACAAGTTATCAATCGTGGCGCAATTTTAAAAATATTTTTAGTTAATTAACAACTTCAATATAAAAAATTGCAATTTTTAAAGCTATTGAATGATTAGGTAGGTAGTACAATATCTTCGAAAACTAAAAATGTACTTAGATCGATACATCAAGCATGTATTGAAAAATGTATAATTGTTTTCAAAACTATTACCGGGTCACGTGATTTTATAGTACGTCTATAATTGAGTTGTTTTTGACTAAAAATACACAGGTGTAGAGACTTTTTAGCAATTCGTGCATTATTTTTCGTGTATTATTATTGTTTTATAGGTGAAAATCAAAATTTTAAACTATGGTTTATTCATTATTCAACTTCAACATTTTTATCGACTATACTTAATATGTTTATCAAGAAACAAGCGTTATGTATACCAGTATACCTACAATCATAAAATGGGGCACTGAATTATTGACCTTATTGAATATTGTTTAATGGCCCAATACCTAACATGTTTATAATTTATAACGGTCTTTCTATATAAAAATAGTGTATTACCCAAATTGGTCAATAAAAATATAAAATTGCAAGACGAGACATTAATAAGTTAAGTGCATTTTAACTTTTTGACAACTTGGTACACTTTCTTGTGTAAAACATTAAGATAAAAATAATCTATTTTTTTTTACCCAATTATTTTTATTTTTTTTTTTTACAACCGGATATTGTAATCAGTAGGTATTAGCTATTGGCTAAAAAATCACCATTTTCCATCGATTAGTCGACCCGTTTCATCAAAATGGAATTACATAATTATGCCAGTTGCAACTTGTTTGGACGTCAATTAAAATGTTAATAGACATTAATTAGTAAATCCTATTAGTAAACACCTAATCATTTTGTGTCCACTCCGGCAAGGGTACCTATTTAGTTTTAAATTTGTTAACTCTCCCGATCCTGTAAAATAGAGTACCTAAGTCAGGTATTTTTTTTTTTTAACTATATACTAAAACAATACACAGAATAGTTTTATGTCTGTCCGTTGTAATCTTTTAAAACTAAATTTGATTAAATAATAATAAAACAACTAAATATAAACTTAAATTATAGCTTCACATTTAAATACAAACAACAAACACGAGATATCCGCCAACGACCATACCACGTTGAATACACCAGTTCTCGTCCGATCACTGAAGTTAAGCAACGTCGGGCGTAGTTAGTACTTGGATGGGTGACCGCTTGGGAACACTACGTGCCGTTGGCAACTTTTTTTGTTATTATTGACGACCAATTTTTCACGTTTCCATTTTTTTTACATTTAATTGTTTTTGACTGGATATTATTATAAATATAGTAAGTACCTTTGCTTATTTGTTTATTGTTTATTGAAAAGTTGTTCAAATACATATAACAGGAATTAATTATAATTTTTTTTTATAGTTAAACGATAAACCTTTGGAGATACCTTTGAGGTATTGAGGCAAGTGTACTTTGTAAAAAATACTCAGTCAAAGAATCTTAGACTGAAAGTGAAGGCATTAAAGGCTCCACTAATTGAACTATAAATGCAATAGATAAATATGAAATGTCAGTAAATTAAAAATTTATAAACGAACGTCGGAAATCTCAAAACGGAATGCCATAAGCCAAAATAACCAAATAAGTAATAATAAACAATAATATAAATAAATAATAAATTAACAGAAAAACGAAGTGGCCATCTTCTCGGTGTTTATACCAGTGTGGCCATTTTCGGAAAACTAAAAGTTTAATGTAACTTTTCATCCGAGATCAAGCGATTATTGATCTAATGACTAGAATTAAATAGATTTTTTAAATAACCTTATAATATTGATATGAACTAAATAATTAATATTAATAGTAGTAATAACTAATAAACAATATAAATGTATGTTATAAACACAAAATATAATATTATATTCGTTTTAGATAAAACAGATAAATAAATGATACTAATGATTGTTACGTAACTGGTTTGGAATGTCAAGTCCCTGTAAAAATAAAATATAAAATAATAATAATCTTAAAAGCATTTTTCATTTTTAATGAATATAATTTAATATTTTAGAAAGAACATCAGGATCAAGTTGACAGTTTTTCAACCAAATTTCACATCTATGGTATAAAGAAAAAGCTATTTTTTTTTTTAAAACAGTTGACTTTTATTTAGTTATAATAAAAAGTATATACCAAACAGGATCTTTAGGAAAAGAAAAAGAGCTCACTGATTCTTTTTTTCTCCACACGATTTCTCTAAACTTTTTATTAAATGCTTTATGCTCGTGAATCAACATAACAACATGATTAGTCATTGTCAAACTTGAAAGTTAAAAATAATTTAAACAAATATTATGAAACCTAACTTAACCTAAACCGTAGAATTAATGCTTTAAACTGATAAAACTATATACCTGTATAGTTTTTTTAGTTTAAAGGTATATTATACAATCGGCAAGATGACCGTCATACGAGAAAGTCATCCTTTTGCTTTTATATATTCTGTGTTTTAATTATCAAGTGCTAGGCGTTTAAACAGAGGCCAATTATAGATGTCATATACGTCGGTAGACGCAAAATGTAGTATCTTATACTTTTAAGAACTAAAATTATTGTACATTTGTACCACCAATTTAATTTTAATAACTTTTGGCAGTTTGCACACTCATAGCCCTTATATTCTAATAGATAGAAGAATGCACTTTTGATAAGTATATTTTTTTCATGTAGTTAAAAAAAGTTCGTTAAAAATGTGTAATCCAATGTATTTATTATATAAATAATGGCAGACGTTGGTATAGTTTTGAATCTTTTAATATGTATACACAATATGTAGACGACTATTAGATATCTATACAGTATACTATATTATATAAAACTCGATTTTCAAAAAAAATGTCTTCATCACTCCTGTAAACTACGCCATATTGCTACAGCATATTCTAAAAGATCCGTGACAACCAAGTATTTAAAAGTTAGATCTATAGAACAATTTTTACTGTCCAAATTAATTACTTAATTTGCTAACGAAAAAATAATATAATAAATAAAATCAAAATCTGAATAACTCCCGAGTGTCCGGAATTCTATCCCGTCCCATCCAGGGTATTAAGATGAACCCAGTTGAATATAATAATATTCAACTCAATTTTTACCTACAATTGCATGTAAACACGTCGTACGTTAAACGTTTAACGTTTATTTGTCAAATTATTTATTTATACTACAAGTTTAATACTCTTGTTAAACGATTTAATACTTATTTATTTACTTATTAATATTTAATTTAAATATTGTTTCATATTATATTAATCAATAATTAATAACAATACTTTAATTATTTATAATTTAATTTATACAGGTTTGTATCCGCACTGTCACATGTATTCGTATTTCAATGTCCTCTGAACACTGAACACAATACACTGTATACATGATAAAATATAATTAATGTTTAAAGGCGATTTAATACTTAGTGTAAAAGCATATTGAAGGCCTTGTAGACGGCAGGGAAACCATAAAACTAGGGGCGCCGACAATATTGTTTGTGGTGCGATTATTACAAGGGGCGGCCGAGGCGGCGTTTTTAATTTCGGTCCGCGCGAGACCGCTGCTTACCACATGCACCTGGTCTGCAATGGCGGCACCGTCGGCCAACGTATTCGCGCAATACTACTGCATTACAATGTTCGGTTTTGACCCCCAAAAACTTTCTTCTTTCCACCCCCGCCACGGTCGCGTGACGTCACCGCGCGAGAGAGGGGTAGCGGAACGGCGCCACACGATCGACCGGCCAGACCGACCCCTCCGATAGTCACCCCTCGGTGTGACGGCGACAGTGGTGTTGTGCGAGTTGTGTACGAAAGGCCGTGCGCTAGCCGCGCTTAAAGACCAAAAAGTCGACGGCGTACATAATATTAATAAGTATTAAAAAATACGAACCGCGTTAGTTTTTGTATAGTATACCTACTGTTGGGTAGGTAGAGTCGTAATAGTGCCGCGACACAGGTGAAGAGGGGGCAGGTACACATAAACATACACACGTACACGCGGCAACGCTAAGGTGAGCAAACCCGTCTAGCGAGAAAAGGACCTCCGAGGTAGAGACGCGGGCCGAGGGGTATTGTTCTGCATGCTTACAACAGTGACCGCGTTTGAGAGATTAGTCATCAAGACATCAAGGTCTTTGTGCCGGTCCACTCGAATACCGGTTTTCGGGCGAGGTGTACTGCCGGACGCGGCAGTCGGTGTGTATGTATAATTCGCATCATGTACTCTTCTGCTGTACCCGAGTCCATACATTGTTCGTCGCGTACACCTGTCGTCGTCGCCACCACCACCGCCACCAGAACGCACTGAAGAAGATGCACCGTCGAGGGTAACCATCAGACGTTGTTTGCCATTCTCGGCTGTGGCATCTCGTCCCGTGCAGGTGCCCGACGCGTCCCGTTTGTGTAATTTTCAACGCGCCGGTAACGCTGAAAATTTAACGTTATGCCGTAACACCGTCACTAAAAACGTGTTCCATAGCCGCGAGTGTTAGTGATTTTACGCTTATTACAATAGTGACAGAACGAATCGTAGTGTCCGAATTCCGAATAGACCGGCCAACGATCATGGATACGGTAAGAGCTGGAAGTGCTCCGAATCTGACGGCTTATCTGGAAATGGACAAGATAATCGGCACGCCGCCGATTAGGACGGACAAAAAGCTCACTCAAAGGTAAACCGACCGCGAAGTATCGTTACACGATTTCCTGTGCACACCTCCCCTTCCATTCGAATCCGTTTCTAACCAAGCACTAACGTCTGAGAGAATTGTTGAAAATTCAAATTCTGTCGGATCATATTGATACACCCTATGTGTATGTATGTAGTGTATAGGGTATACTATGTACTATGTACTATATACTATGTATAGGGTATACTATAATATGCAAATACTTCTACACATAATGCTGAGTAAAAGCATATGCATATATAGTATGTACATATATTCATATGCATACTAAAAGCATACCTATACAAACTTTTGAAATTCCATGCGCGTTTTAGGTGGGTAAAGAAAATAGAAAGTTAAAGATTAATTACTTGCATGCACGAATAAGATAAATATCCTAATTTTTACAACACATGCTGTTCGAGTGTACCTACATTTCGCGTGCATGGCCATTTTTGCATACGCACAATTAACGCATGGATGGTATTGCCCTCCCCTCCCCTCCCCTAGCAACTGTAAAGCAGGATGCACGCGTACCTACCGGCAGTTAACCGTAAACAAATAAAAATATGCCTGAACGTAAATGACTTCTATTTTAGTAAAATAATTTGTTTGTATACACCTATTACATACTTAACTACTAATTTGAATTTCGGATGCGCCTACGCGTTTGTTGTAAAACTATGGCAACGTGGATAACATTTTGTAATAATGATAATATAATTAAAAATCCACCCCCCCCCTTTTTTGTTACTTATTACGCATGGGCACGTTTTTAATTTGTACATGAGTACTTATGATATGGTTGTATTACTACGGTATAGAAGGGAGGCGTGGGACTCGGTTAAACATATTGCTTATTTCCTAATAAACAAAATAATTAAAAAAAACCTACTTTACAGATTTCACAACAAAAATTTAAAAACCTCTCTCTCTATCTTTGGTTCCATAAATTATATACGTATTTTAAAACAAATTTGTTTAAAAATATTTAAGTAAATAGTAATAATAATATCTAATAATTAGACATTGAGGCTAAAAACCAAAAATAATGTACTGTATAATATGATGGTATGTTTTAATCGGATTTCGCAAAATCGCATTTATCATATATTAAAAACTCCTTTCACCACAAAATAAAAAGACAATTTATAAAGGTTCGTAGGTATAATACGCGTATTTCGATAACAATGTTAAAACCACCGGTGCTTACCTGAGACTGCGAATTAGGTATGGCGGTAAAATATTATGTAGGTAAACATTTTTCGGCAAAAGAACACGGTATTACCTCCAGACGATGAGTCATAAGACCATTATAGTCTGCGGAACTAATGCCTAAGAAGTGCGCATGCGGTACGACGATCAGAGAATATCAATCCTGTATTAAACCATGGCGGCGATCGGCATACATAAATTGTACATAAACTGTACAAAATACAAATGAAAAAATGAATTTAATAATAGAAGAATAAAAATGCATCGAAACAAAAAAAAATAGTATTGGATTTATCATTCACACGAATCAATGAAGTTTTGAGTAACCCAGCATAAATTAACGCACTATTAATATTATAACTCGACATAGATAAAAATAATAATCATGAACTGGCCTTGAGTGAGAAAATTAAAAAAAACATATTTATTCTGCCCGGTAGTGAGGATTTTATTTCAAGGGAGCCAAAATTTGATTTGCCAAAATCAAAAAAAAGTGACATACTGCACTGTTATTTATGATTTATATTTTCTAAAATATAAATCCATTTTGTGGAGGGCTGTAGCCCCCTTAGCCCCTCCCCTAAAAACGTCACTTTACGTACGCAGTACATGAACATCTATACATCTATATATTCTATCAATATAACTAAGGAAAATTAAGTCATGTACTGAATATATTGCAAGTACTCATTCTTGACAGGCTTATACTTTTATGTCAACAAATTAATTACATACAGTACTATTATGGAAATTAGAAAAACGGGAAACAAATTGGTGGTTCTGTCAAAAAAAAACTATCATTACGAAATAGTTATATCTATATCATACTTGAAATTGTAATTTATAAAGTAATTAAAAAAAAAGGAAATTTTAAAATTCGTCTGTTAAGTAGATATTTTATCACGACAAATTTACAAGTTTACCCTATTACCGAGTTATAAAATAATCGTTTTTTGGGATTAATTGGCAACACTTTTAGGGCATGAATGAAACCGACTAACGTCGACCAATAATTTCCACACACAGCTGTATTCAGAGCTTAATTATTTAATGTTTCCCAACGTAAACTTATTATTGCTATTTTTGTTTGTAAAAATATATTGTATTAGCATGCCTTAAAATAGTACCTATTCTAATTTCTAAATACTAAATTGTAATTAAAATCGGGAGAAAAAACGCTTCAACTATACGCATACTGAAAAAAAGTGTTACCGAACACAAAAATGCGTTCACCTTCATTTCTAAAAAACTGTTTATCATTCAAAACAAATACATTAGTATGTTTACTAATAAACTTGATGTACTTATACTTTCCACATACGAACACAGTACGTCAGGGTTTTTGGAATAGTAAAATAGCGATTTCGAATATTTATGTTTCCGAGTACTCAAATATTATACCTTCGTGTGCCTACGTTGTTGTTTGACTCTGAGCCGATTTTGAAGTCTAAAAAACAATAATTCAACTAAACACCGGAGTATAGTTTTGCGTCGTGGTATTTCAGAACGATTGTAAAAACTAAGACATTTTGTTTACAAGCAAATTTAATAATGGCTTTTTAGTTTCAAGCATAACACACAAAGACTTTTAAAATGTTCAGATATGTACGGTACCTGGCTTAAATAAATAACTCATTAAAAAAAAACAAACCTGATTTTCAGCTTCGCCTCCACTACGTGACCGCTACGTGACTCAATCAATGTAAACATAATAATATGTACCCAAATAGATATTTTGATTTATTATAATTTTATTTCCGGTCGTGTGATTCCTGTATTTACCCTTAAGTTATTACAATACGACGTAGGTTCTATTACTTTATAATTATATAATATGTCAAGGTATGCTTTCTTATAGTATTTTTTTTAAATATATTATTGTACGAAAGGCTTATGCGCCATTGGTCACGTAGATACCAACTTACGTATACAACATGCACTCATGTACATTAATATAGTACAACCCTCGCGGTTATTACTGTGTAGTGTGTACAAACTAGTGCAATAGCCAATAAGTACACTTGTAAGCACGCGGTTTCGTTGTGTACTTGTCCCTTGATCCAAAACATTGTAGCTGATTACTGATGAGTCTGATAATTGTCAAATCTTTATGGGCATTTTTCATTTCACGAATCATTGTAGATTATTAAAAATAAACGTATTCTGTTTGTTGTGGTATTAGTTCTGTCGTCCACTTTTAGGCTTCCAACGGTATTATTTCATTTATAAACATTAGGATTATGCTGGTCTGCTTAGAAGATTTTTTGAGTTCATTTTTTAAAACTTACACTCCTAACATCGTTCCCGTTCCATATCTTGCATAAAAAAAATCAACTTTATAACCTTGACGGTGCTTCTTAGCTCCTGAGATCCTTAAGCCACTGGTACTGAAAAACATATGTTTATTTAATCATTTAGCTTTCAAAAATATAATTTCAATAAATAATTGCATTTTCAAGTAAAAATCTAAAAAAGGTTTTTGATATGTTTTCTATTTAAGATATGGTACCACAACAAAAACGTTATTAAACCGTTAAATGTTTAAATGTTTAAAACCTTTTAAAAATTCTAAAGATGAAAAATCTTTCATAAATTGGTCCGTACCATAAATTATGGATATATAAAGTTTCAACTAAAATTTTGTAGTCAAATAAGATAATATATTTACACGGTACCTACTACCTACAGTCAAAACAATACTACGGATTTTCAAGAAAAATAAATCTTTAAGGCTCATACTTAAAAGATCGACAAAATGCCATTGCCTTAATAAAAGTTTTAAAAATATTATTATTATTATTATTATGTAAATTATGATAAATCACGATTAAAACTGTTTATGTAATCGTATTATCAGCGATAAATTAAATTTGTCTCAAGGCTCATTAAATTTTATCTTTTTCTATAAATATATACATATATATATATATATATATAACTAGTATACCTACACTATATTACATAATAATGAGGAACTATGTTTTGTATACTAATTTTTTGTATAATTGTATAAATAATACAGCACACCATTTGATTTGCAATAAATCTTTTTACTATAGCCTTCCCATATATAGGCGTTTATTCGATTTATATTGTTACCTCGGTTTTTGTCACCGAGAAAAATTGAGCCACGATTAATAATTACAACAGGTAAAACGCGTTTAATCAAATTCAATCCGTCCCGATAATAGTGTTTACTATTGGCGTATTTTTTAAAATATATATTGTAATGCTAATATTGGCATAAATGTTTAATAACATGTACAGCCTCCGGTACGCAGTATATTTATCGACAACATTTAATAGTTGTTGAGGAATAATATTATTTAAAAAAAAAAAAACAATTTTATCGTCTGTTAACCCCGTTATTGCTTTCTAATGGGTATGGCGCGACATACAAAACCGGAAAAACAATAAAGGTGTAGTGTTTAATCGTGGAACGGTTTTGATTTGAAGGTCAACTATTAACCGAACAGGGAAATTGAAGACCGGATTATTTTCATTGTTAAGTAGTTTTGCATCATGCGTTTAACGTTCGTTGCAGTAGTATTGTGTACCGTTTAAACTTTTAAAAATCGCAAGTCCTTTTTTTGTTGTTGAATTTTTTCGTTTTCAAACCTCTTTTAAAATAAAAAACTTACGCGATCGACCAAATCTAAAATGAACTTCCGACGGTACTCGTGTCGCTAAAAAAGGTAAAATATCGTTATTTTTAAAATTTTGTTTTACCGAAGTATTAGATTATAAACGAATCGTTATTCAGAACATTTTTATAACTTTGTGTCTAC